TCTCCCGACCTCATGATCCACCTGCCTCGGCCTCCCAAAGTGCTGGGATTACAGGTGTGAGCCACCGCGCCCAGCCTCATAAGTCATGCATTTCTAACAAGCTCCCAGGCGATCCTAATGCTGCTGGTCCATGGACAACGCTTTGAATAGCAAGGATCTGGCCTATGGTGTGCAGTAGAACTTTCTGCAATCAATAAAACGTTCTATATTTGTACCAATATAAGCCCTAGAAATGTGGCTGGTGTGACTGAGTAATTAAATTTGTGTTTTTATTTGATTTTAATTAATCTAAATTTAAATAGTCAAATGTAGCTAGTAGCTACTGTATTAGGCAGCACAGGTCCAGAAAGTCCCTCAGGGATAAATTTCAATATGGATAATGGAGTTTGGGGGTGATCATCCCATTGGGCAAGGATCAGGGGAACTATTTTGAAAGCTGGACTACAAGAGTTCCCAAGACAGTGTCCCTTATAAGTAAGTCCTTGGCAGTCAGGGAAAAGCCTTTCCTTTCAGCCAGATTTGTCTTGCTTTTGCAGTGGAATCCTGGTAGTGGCTCTCCCAGGGCTGCTACTTCCTTGCCTGGATAGGTTGGCTCGAACACTCCTAGGGCCCCAGGAGACAGGACACAGATGGCCTAATCCAACAGGCCCAAGATGTACCCCTCCTCATACCTACTTTTGCAAGGCCAATTGATTAAATCTAGCGAACACACAATGGAAAAACACCCAGCCAGTGCTCTTTTTGGTGGGAAGAAAAGCAATGGGATTGGTAAACAGAAGAGGCTAGAAGTTAGCATAGGAGGCAGGATGAGAGAGCAGGGGTTAAGTGGGGAGACAAAAGGGGCTAAAGTGTCTGAGGGACCAGTAGAGGGGCAAGAAATAGAGAGAAGAGGCATAAGGGAGGATAAAGGAGACAGATGTCAGGAAGAATGGTGTTAGAGAGGAAGAAACCATGTGGGGAACTATGTGGGGATCAGGAGGTATTCAGAACCAACCCGAGTGGGACAGCTATGTGCGGGACCTGCAGGAGCCCCACCTCACCCCTACCCCTAGGGCAGTAAGTGTTAAATACTTACCTCCTCGGTGGATGATCAGAAGATGACAGGGTGGGGCTTCTTTGGTGCATTTGTTGTGGCACTTTAACCTGAGAAAGATAAAGAGAGAGAAAGATGGATAGGTGAATGGCTGAGTGAGTGGACAGGTGGGTGGGTGGGTGGATGGATGGATGGATGGATGGATGGATGGACGGGTGGATGGGTGGATGAGTGAATGAATGGATGGGTAGATGGATGGGGGATAGATAGGTGAGTAGATGAATGGGTGAATGGATTCACGGATGGATGGATGGGTAGTTGGATGCATAAATTGGTAGATGGATGGATGCATGGCTGGATGGATGAATGGGTGGATAGATTGATAGGTGGCTGAACAGATGGATGGATGGTAGATGGATGAGTGGATGAATAGATGGATAAATGGGTACATGGATGGACGGGTGGTTGGATGAGTGGGTGGATAGATGGGTAGATAGATGAATAGATGAATGGATGGGAGATGAATGAACAGATAGATTGATGGCTGATGTGTGGATAGATGGATAGATGGGGAAGTGAAGAGATAAATAAATGGATAGATGGGTGGGTGAGTGGGTGGATGGATGGATGGATGGTGGATGGGTAGGTAGATGGATAGGTGGATAGATGGGATGCCCCCAGTGGTCTGGAAAGCTCTGGGTGCTGTGGATACTAAGATGTGAGATGAGATGGGGCAGCTACTGCAAAGGCATATCCTTAGCAAACCAGGAAATTAACTCTGGAGACAGGCTTCTAGTATCCTACTCTCTCAGGTCAGTCTTGGGTGGTCCAACAGTGGATGGCAGCGGTTTTATTAGCATTGCCCACATGGACTTCATGTTTTAAAA